AGCGCGCTCCAGGTGTGGCCCAGAGATTTGCATGTGGATAAGCAGGGGAGGTGGATCACAGAAAGGAGCAGGATCCTAGAGGTAGCCAAGTAACAAAGGCTTCAGGAAATGCCCCTACTAACAGAAAAAAGTGGGAACCAACCAAAACATTCACCACAAAGAGCGTGATTGACACACGGAGCGTGCATGCAACAAAAGAATAAAGTACTGTGTTTGCATGTGCAGATGAAAGAGGAAACCCATCCCGTATTGTTGACTGGAATAAACCAGTTGCAAAGCCATGTATGACATGTGAGATGCATGCATGCAAAGAAGAAGCACTGAGAACTATTTCAAAGGTACATGCATGCGGGTAACTTCCATTGTAGCTGTATGAAGCCATGCTCAGGAAAACAGCTAGAAGGAAAAAACATAAGCTGTTAATAGTGGTTACAGCTGGGCAGATAGAGGGTTCTAGGAACATAAACGGAGAACTTTCCTTATCTTTCTACAGAAAGACCATAGTTATCTCCGTTCCTTGAACTGAATGCAGAGTGTGAGAAAGGCAGGTGTGGGCTCCAGGATGTAGGCTACTTATCTGGGGTATTTTTTGGGGGGTGGGAAGGGTTGGGAAGCATTCAGACAAGAATGTGAATACCCAGCCCTAGCTGGATCATGACCCCCATTATATATTGATTGTTCTCTTCCAGCGCTCTCAAACATATCTTCTACTCGTACTGTTCTTTGTCTCTAGTGAGTGGCAGGGCCCTAATTACTGATATCTGGCCTCCACTGGGAGGATTAGTGTGTGCTCTGGGCAGCCAGCCGGCTGCAGTTCTGCAGACCAATGGGGGAGGCTCCAGCAATCTCCAGGGAAGCCAGGGTCCTGATTCACATGCTCCTGCCCGCAGGCATCCTGGTGGAATCCTCTGGGAGGGCTTTGCCTGGTACCCTAATGCCAGCGGAATGTGCACACAGAGCGCCTGCCTGGACTCCAGAAGGAAGACGGTGAGGGCTGCCTTAACCTCTTCTTGCCTGGCCAGAAGCTGTGCTGCCTGGGGAGTGAAGGACATGAAGTAGCCCCCCGCCTTTGACCACAGGACCTTCAGTGTGGGACCTGTGGCCTGCAGGAAAACAGGCCTGCATGTCAGAGACCTGCATAGAGATCATGGTTGAAACTTTCATTTCCTTCAAATAATAGGAGGAGAGCTTTATCAAAGACAAAAAGCTGGGAAGTCAGTGAATGTGTGGATGGTGGTCCAGAAGGAATAGCAGATCCTGGGCTACAGTTTTCCTCTTGGGACAGTTCACTCTTTCAGAACTAGTTGGAAAAAGTCATTTCCCAGGGTTTCTGTCCTAGTCAAAGAAAGAACTTTCTAACAACCAGTGCTGTGTGAGATAAAATGGTCTCCCTGGATCTGAGCAGGCTCCCTATCACTGACAAGAGTGCCAATCTTGGCAATACAGGGCGAGCCCTGCATAGGGCTGGGTCTGCCCCTCTACCGCTATTCCCAGCAGCAGCAGCAGCAGCAGCAGCAGCAGCAGCAGTAGCACACATGGGACCCAGAGATGAGCTCCACGCTGTTTACCCAGTCAGTGAATACACGAATAATACAAACTTGGAGAAATGTCACAGCCCCAAATGTCCCTTCCAGGTCTGGATAGTGAGGGGCCTGAGGTCCTCACAGAGAGGAGGCAGAGTTCCATAACAACCTACCACAAACTTGGTGGAGTAGAGCAACTTGTATTTCCTCTCTTCTAGCCAGAAGTCTGAAATCAGTCCCACTGGGCTGAAGTCAGGCTACTGGCAAGGCCGATTCCTTCAAGGGGAGAATCTCTTTCCTCGTGCTTCACTGTCTAGAGGCCTCCTGTATTCCTTGCTCTGTGGTCTCTTCCTCCACCTCCAAAGCTCCCCTCAGTCTCTGCGCATCACCATCTCCTCTTCTATGGTTAGGACAGGGCAGGTGTAGGGGACTCTCCTAGTCCGGTGACACAATCATGGCTGTTCACAGAGCCACGGAAAAATACTGTTCTGGACCATTTGCAATTTGCAGTCCTTCGCTGAAGGACCCATCAGAAGATGCTCTTTTCAATCCTTCCTTTGCATGTGGGCACAACCAGTCAGAAGACAGCGTTCCCGATCCCTCATTTACAGGTAACAGGAAGAAAAATGAGTTTCCAGGGCGGACAGTGTATACTTGGTGTCACTAGTGAGTGTTTCACAGGAGGACCCTCCCAATGCCTTACTGGCATGAAAGAGAGAGCTAACCTGGGAAAGATCCTCACAGTTGCTGGGAGCCTCTTGGCAGGCCCAGTCTCACTCTGTAGAGAGTATACCTTTGTTTCCTTTTCTGTGTGTCCTGTCCAATGCTTTGCTCAAGACTCCAAGAGCATGGGACAAAACCTCACGGGAGTGTCCATCAGGAGCGGTCATCTGTCTCTCTGCCTTTCTTATGAGGACATGGCAGTCACATTAAGTGTAGACCTCGACAAGCCAGGAGCAACCCTCTGTCTGGAAACACTTCCCTGGATCACATCTGCAAAGTTTCTGTGCCAGGAAAGGAAATATTCACAGGTTTTAGCGATTGAGATGTGGACGTGTTTCTCTTAGTGGGGGACTGGGCATTATTCAGCTTAACTCAAAGCAGAAGAGAGTAAGACTACAAACAGGAGACTGGAGCCTCCGCCCTGCTGTGGAAGAGAAGGGGAAGAGCTATGAAGGAGGAAGAGGAAAAGAAGCCACAGAATTCTGAGGAACCCTGCCATAAGGTGTCCAGCTCTCTGTGGAGAGCTGGAGAGGAGCGTGGCCAGGGTGGAGAAGGTCAAGGACTGGGCTCTGCTCAGTACCCGGGACCATGGCTGGCATACGGAAAGGCTCAGTAAGGGCTTGCTTAATGAATCAGTAGACGAATGGTCACATGAGAATGAGGTTATTGGCTGTGACAGTGGCATTTGGTCATGGTGAGCATCCTCCCAGGTGGGTCCTTTAAACCCCTGAGGGACACTGAGGCACAGGCTGGCATGGCTGTGCGAGGGAGAACTGGGACCAATGGGGCAGTGTCTCCACCTGCTCTGTCTGGGTGTGAGGTTGTATCGAACCCAGACAAAGGTGAAGGTGCTGGACTGGAGCTCTGCCGAGTGTGGAGTGTGAGGACCTGTGCCGGGTCTGAGGTGCTGGGCTTGGTTCTGCTTTTGGGGGAAGCCACTGTGGAACACGGAGCACCATTTCCATAAGCCGGGGGTGCAGACTCCACTCCAGTGGACAAAGTGTTTAAGATTCAGGAACTTTCCCCTTCCTAGTCTTTCCAACTTTGGAAGCAGAGCCAAGGGGGCCCTGCTTTCCAGCTGTAACCCAACCCTTGCAGCTGATTAAAGGGCAGGCGTGGAAACTCACATGCTGAGCTATTTTCCGAGCCATCTCCCCGGCTCGCTCCACCCAGCAGACAGCGGATGGCTCTCCTGGCTGCGTGTGCTGGGGCTGCTGAAGCCTTCACATTTAATTACGTTCGCTTGCAGTGTGACTGTGCAGCGGAACGCACAGCGTCCATGAGCTGATGCTCTGGCAGGCGGGGCGAAAGATGGTGCTGTCTCTGCAGAAGGTTCTGGCCTTAAGATGCGCACAGACCAAGGGATGGTAGGAAACCCAGAGCTCCTTCAACGCTATGCCCCCTGGTCACATGCATGTGTTGGTTTCCCATGAGAAGTTCTGATCCTGGGTTTGTTAAATCCAGAGGAAGTTATTCAATTTTCAGAGTGTGCAAGTCAGTGCAAAACAAAGGCTCTGTAAGCCTCTGCCGACTCCTCCTTGAGGAGACCCAGGCTGCTGGCTGGCTCGCTCCATCATTCATGCATTTATGCAGCACCAGGGGTGTCTGTTTTGTGCCAGGCATCGTGAATTCCAAGATGAAAAGGGCCCCGTCGCTGGTGGCTTCCAAGGAATGCTTGGGCTGGCAGGTCAGTGGGTGCCGGGCGTGCAGACAGCCTCTCTTGGGCACAGTGCAGGAAATGAGGTCTGCATGGGGTGAGTGACCAGCAGCTGCAGGTGTGCAGGGCAGCAAGGAGTGACCTTTGGGGGTTTGGAAGGAAGATGAGCAGGCACAGAAGCAAGGGATGAGGGGGGTTTGGGTCCGGTGATGGGGCAGAGCTGCACCCACGCCCTGCCGGGAAGCAGCTGGTACAGAGTCTTACTTCTTGCAAGTAAGAGGGGGGCAACAGAGACATTAAAATGAAAGCAGCATGGCTGGCTGGGGATCGAGGCAGGTGCCTTAGGGATCTGAGTGTCCCGAGGCTGCTAGGCCAGGGCAGGTTGTCCCAGTGGCTGGGCAGGAGGGTGTGGGGGCCCGGCTCCACCAAGGCTCAGTATGGGGGGCAGAGGAGGGGACAGCCTGTCCAGGGGCGCACCTGGGAGGCTGGAGGAGGACACAGGGGTGACAGGCTGGAGACTTCTCGTGGTTCATTCAGACAGGTGAGGGTGACAGCACTCCTTTATCTCAGGCACACTGGGGGTGGGGAGCCGTCGGGGGAGATCTGGGGGCTTGTGGGAGGTCCGAGACACAGGTCCCTGAGGGGGATCCCAAGACATCAGGAAGAGGGCAGAGAACAGGACATGAGGCAGAGGCAGCGGACGGAAGTGTGGGGAGGAAGAGGAGCGAGGACGGAGCAACCTGCGCCTCTCCAGGGAGGCGGTGGGACGCCCTGGACGCAGCGCCAGGACAGGACGGAGGGCACGGGTGAAGCGGCACGAATGCATCCTCATTTTCCCCAAGAGGAGAGGGGACCTGAACTCTGAAGGCTGCAGGTGGACGCAGAGCCTGCTGAAGGTGGAACCTCGGGCCACCCCCAAGCACAGCCCACAGCTGTCCCCTCCCACTTGCACACAGCTCCTCTGTTGTCGCCGCTGGGCTTCCGTCCCCCACGTGTGAGGCCACAGTGAGTCCACACCCGTCTTGACCCCCTTCTCTTCCGTTCCAACCCAATTCCGTTCTCACTCACTTTTGGTATTGTTTATTACTTACCCAGGCTCTGCATTTTCTGACACCAGCGGGAACAGAGGAAGGCGGATGCCGCGTCTGCATCTTCTTGTCAAGGTCTCTGGGAGGGGCGGGAGGTGGAGCCCTGCTTGGTGCTGTTATTCGTGCCGTCGGAGGCCATCCCAGTGCCTGCAGAATAAATATTCAAATAACGTGAAACTGGGCTCAACATTTAGTGTTCAGGAAGCACCTTGGATCCACGGAAAGGGCCCGTGGGCTGACTGTGCAGTACACCTGCTGTCCCGAAGCAAGGTCACCACAGATCCATCCGCTCCCCGGACTGAGTGCCACACCGCTGTCCAGCACCATAGGAGAGACGCCAACCTGAGGAGCCCTGCAGTGGCCAAGTTTCCCTATTCTGTTACTAATGGGCTTCCATAAGGGAGCACAAGGACATTTTCCTGTATGGGCTCCTACCAGGCTCAGCTGACCCTGACCAAATGCCCTCTCTGTATCTGACCCATCTCTGCAAACCTGTCACTGGGCCCCTTGCAGGATCTTCCTGAAACTTGTGTGGAAACGGGCTCACATCAGTAAGCTTCCATCCTGTGCCTATGTCAGGGGATGGGAGGCCTTTGCCCTGCCCTCCGAATGCGGCTTGCACCTTCCCTGCTGTGTGCATGTCCCGAGTGCTGTGTCCTGTGCTTGCGTGTGTGTGCGTGTGTGCGTGTGCGTGTGTGTGCGTGTGCGTGTGTGTGTGTGTGTGTGTGTGTGTGTGTGTGTTAGTAGAGACTCAGATACCTTTACAAAGAGACACCAGGGGAATTTCCAAGTCTGGCCCTCGGGGGAGCCCAGCAGGTGAAGCACAACAGGTGGTAAAGCGTTGGCATAGCAACAGGACATCTGAAATTGACCCCAGGGGAGCCAGGTGACGGTAAATATAGAGGACTGTGGCTGCCTAGGTGTGCCAGAGTCTGGGGTGGAAAGAACCGATCTTGTTGAGACTAAGGAGGCTGCTGGCTGCAGTTAGGACACGAAGGAGCATTATGCAGGGTGCGAGGCAGACTGCAGGGGCAGGGGCAGGGGCAGGGGCAGGGGCAGGGGCGGGGGCAGGGGCAGCCAGGCTGAGGGGCAGCCAGGCTGGTGGGCAGCGTGGTAGGGCTGAGGAGTGTTGCCTGTGGTTCCTCTCTGAGGGGGCCGTGTAGACACGGCTTAGATGTCTCTGTGTACCTGGAGACGAGGGGTCTGAGGTGAAGCGTGGGAGGCTGGCCCTGCATGGGGGCTCCCAGCGGGGCTCCCGGTGACCTGCAGCCAGTGTGGACCCGTGGGGATGAGCTTGCAATAGATGGAGGCATCCAAGAGGGGACGTCCGGTGCTTTGTGGGGACGATGTGCAGGGCTCTTGCATGTGGAATGGCGGGCGTCCGTGACTCCACACCCTGTGGGAGGCTGACCCAGGCCTTCTCAGCAAGTCAGCGCAGACACTGCCGATCCCGGGGGTGGTGAGGAAGGTCCTGGTGTCTGGCAACCCTCCCTCCGCATCGCTGCCTTTCCAAGAATCCACACTGCGCCCTGCAGGACACAGAGGGCCTCCAGGACTTGAACCCTTTGCTGGAAAGACTGAGGGCTCGAGGCCTTTGCGGAGGGAGGCCGCCCTGTGCCTTGTTTCCGAAGCTGAGCACCCCCGACTGCAGAAGTCCCTCCTGCTGGAAACACCACCCTGGAAGAGAGTCTTCCGCCTCCTCCAACTTTCCCCTGAATTTCTTTCAGATGGGTTTGGCCTCAGAAAGGGCCATTTTCGTCAATGTGTTGGCCTGTGTTGGGGACTTTGCTTCCTGGGTCTGTGTCTGGGGGAGGAGGGGCGTGGGGTGTGGAAGCTGCTATCCTCCCAGGATGTCTTCTGGGCTTTCAACAATTTGGCTTCATTGATGCTGTGTGCGCTCTTAAAATTCAAAGCCCAGAGAGCCACAGATCTGGAGCTAAGGAACCCCTGAGTCCTCAGGGAGGCAGGGTCGCCAACGGGGGCAGTAACTGAGGGGAGGAGAGTGGAGACCTCGGGTGGGGTGCAAGGACAAAGACGAGACCAGACCACCTGATTCCCCATCAGGTGTGCAGCCAGGTAGCCGTGGGTGTGCAAAGGTGGCCAAGGCTCTATGGTTGTGCCCGGAGCCAAGATGCAGAATCTGGGGCACTGCCAGAGGCAGACACTAAGCCCGGAAGTGTCAGGCAGCCGATGAGCTGCGGACTGGCACCCCTCGAGGACCGTGAAGCCACACGTGACAGGTGCCCCAGAGCGGCCACACAGAGGCCCTCAGGGTTGGGGAATTAGGGTGTTTGGAACAAGGGCCTAGGGGAACACAGTGGGGACTGTGAGCCGCATGAAGTCACAGAGAGGAGGCCACACCCTGGTCCACCAGGCGGGGGATGAGTACGTCCAGTCGCGGGGCAGCAGCATCCACTCTGCTGGCAGCAAGACACGACTCACTTCCTGTGTTTTGTCTCCTTCGTAGCCCTGGAGGCTTGTCAACAGTGCCCTTGCCGCCTGTGAATGCCAGGGAAGCTGGTTACAAATGGGGCCAGGCCCCTCCGACGTTGATTTCCCTGTAATAACTTCCAGCTTTTTAATCCAATTCATCAGCCATCCCGGAGTGAGGGTTTAATGAGGTTCAAGGGAGGAGCTGGCAGCGATCACACAAATGAGAGGGAGGACGGAGGACAAGGACACGCAGGGCCCTCCAGGCGGGCGCGGAGCAAACCCAGAGAGGGTGCGGCCACCAGGCTGTGTCCGCAGGGTGGGTCTGGCCTGCTTCCTGGTGACAGGGGGCGGGCAGCAGGAAAGGGTGAGCCTCGGGGCTTCTGGCTCAGCCTCTGTCCCTGAAGCTGCACCGCACTCCCTATGCTACTCCACAGCTCCAGCTTGAGACCGTTCTAGAATCAAAGACTTCATTCCCCAGGGAGACAACTGTCTGAGCGCAGAAACCAAACTCACCTACCTTGTTGTTGGCCTTGGCTGGACCTTGTGTCCACCACGTAAGAGCCTGGGCATGTGGATAAAGACTCTGGGAAGTGGGCCTGGCTGGCCCCCTTTTCTCAGAACCCTGCTAATGCAGCGTGGCCTGGGTGCTTACACAGTGGACCGCTTAGCTTTTTAGACAAGGGGCCATTTGTTACCATTGTGGATTCCCAGGAAAGCACCCTCGAGGAGGTTCCTCCCCCGCAGGCCGGGCCAAGTTCGCAGCATCTCCTGTCACCGTGCGCCTTCAGGGGAAGTGAGCGCCCAGCCCCCTGGTGTCACGTGGGGAGTCTGGTGTGTCCCAGCCTTGACAGGTCTGGGCAGTGCCTGCTGCTGGCCCAGCCTGGCCAGGCTCTGAGAAGGCAGCATTCAGGGCTCGGCGGGTTAGGGGAGAAAAAGAGACAATGCTAGCAGCTGGCAACACTGGGGGCTGGGCAGAATATTCCAAACCACTGGAGAGGAGTTGTGGTGTTTCCCTGAAAGGAGTAAATTTCCTCGGGGGCCCACAGACCAGAAGTAGTGCCGATGGGGAAGGGGTGGGGTGAGAGGACCCTGGCAGGGCATTTGTCTTTTCATGTCAGATTGATGAGTCCCCTCATCAGCTGTCCATGTCGCAATTTGATGTAAGATCAGGGCAAAGAAAGGTTGGCCATTGCTTAGGGGTGTTGGAGGCCATCCACACAGGGACTGTGTCTTGGGCTGTCTCTCTGTCTTCTGCCGCCTGCTGCTTGGCTCCGTGTCACTAGTGAGTGCTGCTGTTGTCCCTCGCATGGGGCATCTGTCCACTGCCTGTCCTTCCTCAGGATGGAAGCTTCCCAGGGCAGGTGCTTCTGCTCACTGCATTTCCTCTGGGTGCTCCACCCAAGGCCAGGCCTGGCTTATGTCAACCCTGAAAAATATTTGTTCGCCAAATGAGCCAAGCACTGGAGTGGGAGTTAGGACGCCTGGGAGCAAACCCAGCTCCCTGCGTGTTTTTGATAACATGATTTCATGTCTCGGAACATCGCTCTTATTTGCAAAATGGGAAGAATAGCAGGGAATGAGGCCTGGTGCGCAGGAGCCCCCAAATGATGCAAATGTGATTTCCTCCTGGAAGTTTGCGCTGACCACACAGGGAAGGACCTGTGTGACCGACTGAGCCTCCATCCTGAGCAACGCAGCTGCGCCTTCGTCCTGCACCCAAGAGCTTCCCAGCAGCACCTGCAGGAGCCGGGGATCCCTGTCCACTGGGTGAGGCCCACAGGGGCCACCTGGAATCAGGATCAGTGAGACAGAGACAAGTGAGCCTGTGGGTCAGAGTGATTTCCACTGCAGGGGCAGGTAAAGGCTTCAGTAAGGTGACAGCGGTTCCTTCTTACAGGTTAGGGGAAATACTCACGGGTTCTGGAGGGAACGTGTTGTGGAGGCCAGCATTACACCCATAGCACTCAGCCTTAAACAGGCCGAGGGGATTTAGCCGGCAGCCGTGATCAGGGCTGCAGAGGTGGTGACTCTCCCTGCCTTCTCTGGATCCTGCTGGGATCCCTACTGTGGGGTGTCTGGTGACTCAGAGTCTCCCAGGGGGTCATCACAGGAGGCTGTCTAGGGACGGGCTCTGGACGCCCTTAGCCTCCCCTTTCCTATGCAGGCAGGGGGCGTCAGGCAGGAGGAGAGGGCCGGCCTCACCTCCAGGAGCTCAGAGGACAGGCAGTCTGGCGGCGCTATTGGCAGTGACGCGGCCTTCAGGGCATTGAGCTCTCTTCCTTAGTGCTCTTCAGTGGCCCATCGGGAGTGTCAGCAACGGCCGAGAGGGGGACAGGAGAGCCCCTGGAAGTCTATCATTCTCAGTCCTGTCCATCTGCCTGTTAGGACCCCGGCTCACCCTGCACAAGTCTGTGACTCATCTCTGCGGCGGGGAGAGATTGCTAAATCCCCAGCCCCTAACATTCACATTTTAAGCCTAGAATCCCAGGACTCTGGGAGCTGAGGTTGTGGGGAGTGTCCAAAGCTCAAGCCCTGCTGGGGCAACAGAGTGATACAGGTTTAAAACAAAAAATAAAATAGGCAGAAGGTGTAGGTCAGTGCAAGGCCCTGGGTTCAATTCCAGTCCAGGATTCTTTTTAAAATTCATCCTTTATTTTCTGTGAGTTGAAGAAATGGTTGCCTGAAAACACCTATCATAATCTTGGAATTCAGGACAAGGGAAACAGCAGAGCTTGACTCTGTGCAGCAGGCTGTTTTTGTATCACTCCTGTGAGAGATAGGCCGAGAGTCCCTTTGGTCTTGTGGAGGAGTGACAGCCATGGGCGGGGCTTGGGAAGGACCGAAACAGCATATGCAGTCAGCTTGGTTATGTCTGGAGAAAATGAGGAGATAAAAAGCATTTGCTGTGTGCCAGACGCTGCTCCTGGCCCTCAAATACACCATCTCACTTCATCCTTGCAGCCCCTGAGGGGCTCCTTCCATCTGCAGCAGAGCTTCCTTCTGACAGCCATGCTCCAGACCCCAGCGCCTGGCAGCGGAATCTATGCAATCTTCCTGTGATGCTGATCTGTGGCCGGCATCTTCCCTGGATTCTGTCACCCACTTGGCAATTGCAAAGCATGCCAGCTACGTACACAGGACATGCTCAATTCCTCTGAGGGAAGCAGGGAGGCAGGCAGAGAGCAAGAAGTCACATAAGTGGAAAAGAAGCACTGCTTGAGACAAGCAGCTGGGGTGCACATGTAAGGGAGAGTCACAGCCTGTGTCTAGATGTCCCCCAAAGCCTTGTGCACTCATGAGTGCGGCTTTTTGAAAGTGGCTGGATCTGGGTGTGTGAATGTGGATTAAGGGTGTGTGGTCACTGATTGGTTTGGTATAGCTCTAGGTGTGGCTAATGGAAGCCCTACCCTGGATGTGGGTGGTACCAACAAGCCTGGATGGAATGTAAGTCGAAAAGAAGGAAGGCAGGCTCACTGCTGCTGCCTCCTGCCTGCCCTGCCATGGACTGTTTCTCCTCTGCGATGCCCCTCTGCCAGGCTACCCTGCCTTGGAGCCAGCTCGCTATGGACTGAAAGCTCTACAAACCATGAGCTGAAATAAACCTTTCCTCCTTTAGCTTGTAGATGGAAGGTGTTTTGTCCTAGCAATGAGAAAGTAACTAAGACGGGGTAGAAGGGAGCAGGGTGCGGAAGGAGTAGGGGCGGGCAGGCCCCGGGCAGGCCTGGGGCAGGAGGAGTGTACGAGGACAGAAAGGTCCACCCAGTGTGGCTGGCCCATGGAGCAGGAGAGGAAGAGGAGGAGGCTGGAGGCAGAGGCCGCTCTGGATCCAGCTGAGGGGGAGACTCTGTGCTTCATTTCAGGGCAAGGCTGGGTTTGGAGAGGGGAACAGACCTGCCAAGTCGCTGTTGAACAGGTCATTGAGCCCGCAGGACAGCTTGTGGTGGCCAGGGAGGAGTCACTACCCTCTTTATTCCCAGGACATGTCAGAGTGGCTGAAGATTTCCTGGACAGAGCAGAAACCCACTGGGTTGTGGCCTAGGGCTCTGGCCTGCAGTGAGGTCCTCAGTTCCCTCCCTCAGTGGGGTCTTAAGGCTCTACTGGCTGTGTCCTCTGCTGTCCCCAGGGTGGCCACAGCTGGGGGCTTTGGGGGTGAAGTAGTCCCTCCTTACCTTCCACAGAGGGCAGCACTGCCAGCATGACACATCCCTGAGGATGGCAGGGTCTTTGGCTCCCCAAGTCTGTGCCGAGGGTCATTAGGTGTCAAGTGGAGCAGTAGAGTGGGCAGGACAAGGCTGTGGTGAAAGAGGGAGGCATGCATGTGAATGGCTGGAGGTGACATGGCAAGTGCATGCCAACTTGAAGGGACAAGGGCAGAAGGGTTCCCAGAGTGGCCGACCTGTGAGGCAGGGAGTGTTCAGACAGGATGCCTCTGTGGAGTTTTGAAGGATGAATGGAAGTTGGCTGGGGAAGAGTGAGGACAGTGCCGGCTGAAGGCTGAGCAGGTCCAGGTGGAGTGCTGAAGGGCATGGGGTGTGTGGTAGCTCCCATGCCCAGGGCATAGTGTAACCAAGGTGAGGGGCGCCACCTTCCAAGGGACCGAGTCTTCCTATGCAAGACCCACAGGCATCACAGGGGTGCAGGCAGGGAAATGTGGCTACCTGGATACAGGCAGAGGTGGGCTCAGTAGGGGCAGTGGGGCCAGCTGGGGGTTCAGTGAAGGTCCCCGAAGGGAGGCCTGGGAGGCCTGGGAGAAAGGGTGAATGAATGCACCAATGACATTGGAGTTTCCCTGGGGGCTAAGCCTGAGGCCCAGAGGAGGTGAAGCCTCCCTCTTTCAGGCTGCCTGAATGTGGGCCCATTGTTCTGCCAGGAGGCACAGCTGGAAGCAGATTCCTTGCAGGAGGAGCAGGCAGGCGGGGTCAGTCAGCTCCATGGGGACAGGGTGTGTGGCAAGCCCACAGGGTATGGCTGCGTACACGGTGTGGGGATTTCCCCAGCATGAGCATCGCAAGCTGTCAGAGCCAGAGTCCCAGCAACCATCACAGGTCTGGAAATACACAACCCCATCAGCAGTCCTGGGCTATTCTGCCTAAACTTCATTACCACGGCCTTAACACCGGAACATCCACTTAACATATCAGAGGCTGGCCAACACTCTGCTGAGATCTGAACCAGCTTTTGCTTGGGACCTGCTCTGGGTCCTCAGCAGATGTGCAGTGCAGTCAGGTTGGAAGGGACTGTGGCTGCCCTCTTTGGGAAGGGCCAGCAGTGCAGCTCCCACCAGAAGCCCAGAGGAGGGGTGAGTGGTGACTTCCAGCACATCTCCCATTTCTCAGGTCTTGCGTCCTCCTGGCCAGGTCAGGGCTGGAGACACAGCTGCTCGGTGCTTCCTGGACTCCAGGAATTCGTCTCTTTCTTTGTTTCTTTGTCATTTTCTTCCTAGCTCTGAAATACAGGATTAAAAATTTGGCAGGTTAATTAACTTTCCGTATTTCCTTTTCTCTTCCACTTCCCTCTCCCTCTCGTAGATGACAAGTATCCTATGATTTATCTGTCCTACGAGTGTCACATTTTCTATTGCAATTCCTTCGGTCTTGGGCCAGTGGTCCGGGGATCTCGATGTCTCTTCCTCGGCTCCTGTAATTTTTCCAGAGGTTGGTTCCTACGTCTTCTCTCTAAGCATCCGGCTCAACTTACCAGAGGCAGCGAAGCAAAACCCCTGGGTGCCATGACAGCTGACATATTCCACAGGGGCTGCAGAGTGATTTGCATTAAATGAGGATTTATGAT